TATCATCATCTTCTATGGAAATAGCAGCTTTCCACTCTCCATTAACATTTATTGAGAGGCCAGGTTCCATGGCTCACGCCTATAATCCCAACAATCTAGGAGGTCAAGGCTGGATGATCTCTTGAAGTCAGGAGATAGAGACCAGCCTGAGCAAATAAAGACCCTGTCTCTTCTAAAAAATAGAAAATTAGTCAGACATGTTGGAGTGCACCTACAGTCTTAACTATTTGGGAAGCTGAGGGAGAAGAATTGCCTGTGCCCAGGAATTTGAGGTTGCTATGAGCTAATGAGCTAAGCCAGGGCACTCTAGTCCAGGTGACAGAGCAAGACTCTGTCTTAAAAAAAAAAAGATTGAGTATATCTTTGGTAGAAGTAGAAAGCAATTTGACAAGATATGCCAAGAGCCTTACATACACTCATTCCAAGAATCCAGCTAAGAAAATACTCCAAAATGTGAATAAAATTTATGCACAGGTCAGGTGCAGTGGCTCACACCTGTAATCCTAGCACTCTGGGAGGCCAAGGCGGATGGATTGTTTGAGCTCACAAGTTCAAGATCAGCCAGAGTTAAGACCAAGACCCATCTTTACTAAAAATAGAAAAACTGAGGCAAGAGGATCACTTGAGCCCAAGTTCGAAGTTGCTGTGAGCTATGACACCACAGCACTATACCAGGGCAATAATGTGAGATTTCATCTCAAAAAAATAAATAAAATAGAGGTGGCACCTGTGGCTCAAAGTAGTAGGGCACCTGCCCCATATGCTGGAGGTGGTAGATTCAAAACCAGCCCCAGCCAAAAACTGCAATAAATAAATAAATAAATAATAAAATAAATAAATGAAATAGATTTATGCACAAAAATGTTCAGTACACTAAACATATACAGATACGTGTATATATAAATATATATATATATATGGATTATTTTAAAGAGACAGAGTCTTAGCTTGGTGCCTGTAGCACAGTGCTTACTGTGCCAGCCACAAACACTTCGAGTGGTGGGTTTGAACCTGGCCTGGGCCAGCTAAACAACAACAACTGCAACAAAAAATAGCCAGGTTTTGCAGTGGGCACCTGTAGTCCCAGCTACTTGGGAGGCTGAGGCAAGAGAATCGCTTGAGCCTAAGAGTTTGAGATTGCTGTGAGCTGTGACATCATGGCACTCTACACCAAGGGTGACAAAGTAAGACTCTGTCTCAAAAAAAAAAAAAGACAGAGTCTTGCTCTGTTGCTCAGGCTAGAGTGCAGTGGCAAGATCATAGCTAACTATGGCCTCAAACTCCTGGACTCAAGTGATCCTCCTACTAGCCTCCATAGTATCTGAAATTACAGACATAAGCCACCATGACTTATGAGTTGTACAATGACATAGAAATGAGATTGTTTTCTAATATTAAGTCAGAAAAGGGAATACCAAATTATACATCTAATGTGACAGACACATAAATAAAAAAAATGCATTTTTATAAAAATTAAAAATATACTGGGCCAGGAATAGTGGCTCACACCTACTCGCAGCACTCTGGGAGGCTGAGGCAGGAGGACTATTTGAGCTCAGGCATTTGAGACCAGACTGAGCAAGAGCAAAACTCTGTCTCTTCTAAAAATAGAAAAATCAGGTGGGACATGTTTGGCCGGTAGTTCACACCTATAATCCCAGCACTCTGGGAGGCTGAGGTTGGTGGATTGCTTGAGCTCAGGAGTTAAGAGACCAACCTGTAGCAAGAGAACCTATTCCTACTAAAAACAGAAGAATTAGGCAGGCATGGTGGCAGTGCCTGTAGTCCTAGCTACTTGGGAAACTAAGGCAAGAGGATCACTTGAGTCCAGGAGTTTGAGGTTGTAGTGAGCTATGATGGCACCAATGCACTCCACTTGGTACATAATTCTCTGCTTTCTAAACATTCGACTATGAGCACGCACATTTCATTTTTCCTTTTTTTTGAGACAGAGTTTCACTCTGCTGCTCAGGGTAGAGCACACTGGTGTGATCACAGCACACTGTAACCTCCAACTCCTGGGCTCAAGTGATCCTCCTGATTCAGCCTCCCATGTAACTAGGAGTACAGGTGTGTGGCACCACGCCTGGCTAAGGTTTTTTTTTTTTTTGCAGAGTTAGGGTTATGCTATGTCACCCAAGCTGATCTTGAACTCCTGGTTTCAGCCTCTTTAAGTGTTGGGATTATAGGTCTGAGCCACCCCACCCAGTTCAGTTTGCATTCTTTTGATAACCAGAATATAAAAGTAAAAACAGGTGGTTCAGTGCCTGTAGCTCAGTGAGTAGGGCACCAACCACATACACAGGGTGCTGTGGAGGGTGCCTATAGTCCCAGCTACTCAGGAGGCTGAGGCAAGATAATTGCTTAAGCCCAGGAGTTGGAGGTTGCTGTGAGCTGTGATGCCATGGCTCTACCCAGGGCAACAGCTTGAGGCTCTGTCTCAAAAAAAAAAAAAAAAAAAAAATAGAACTTTTTGTTTTCCAGTAAAGGAGCCATCACCAATAGGGAATGACTAACATGAGGCTAATTTTGTGTTACATATAAAGTATCAAATAATTATATCAAGAAATGTTTGGAACTTGGATTCAGAAATATGAATTCTTCCAAGGTGAGCCTCTTCTGTCTTGCCAAGGTTGTTTTATTTTGTTTTGTATAGCTCTGCCATCTAGGTTGGAGTATAGTAGCCTAATCACAGCTTATTATAACCTCATTCTCCTGGGCTCAAGTGATTTTCCTGCCTCAGTCTCCCAAGAGCTAGGACTACAAGTGCATGCCATGCCCAGCTAATTTTTTCTTTTTTTTTTTTTT